TGTAAGCAGCCTACCTGTGCTCTGAACTGTAGCCTTACAGCCTGATCAGAGTTAACTGCACAGTACTGTATTCTAAATGGGTTGTGAACTAGTGTGCTTATTACTGACATTTTTTCCTTAATTAAATTGTGGTGGTTCATAGGGAAATGTTGAATGTGTCAATGACAAGTGTTATTTCTATATTTTACACGAAAAAGGTTCCAGATACTTGGCATTTCCACTTAGAGATAGAAGAGATTGAGCCTCATGTGACAGTGATGGATCCAGAAGCGTCCCTAATTTACGTACTCCTTCAGAGGTAGTATAGCCCCATCAAAAACAGGCAACATTTCCAGGCTTAAACCTCAATTGAAATGAGTCTAGAAAATTGGTTTCATCCAAGAAAACCTGGATCTAGCCCTTAACCATGTCTTGCCTTCCTATGTCCTATGCCCAACACATGAGCCATTACCTCTGTTGAGGTGGTCCATGTAACTATTTTGGCATCTTTCTCATGATGCTGTTAGTCTCCCTTCTTTGCAAAGGAAACCACATTAAAGTCATTAAAAAAACCCATAGGTTATACTGGAATATAATCTATTCCAGGCAGGCTCTTGGAGATAGCAACTTGCCAACAGATCTGGGTAGATCATATCCAGTTATATTCTCAATTTTTCTTATTTCAGTTGTCCAAAATATATTTGGGCAAGAGGAAAAATATTCTGCATATCACCATTCATTGTTTTGCATCTTCAACATAGATTATCTCCTATATATGTGGTTTAATACATACCAGTGAAAAATGAATTCATAACAAGCTTTATTTTAAGGCGATGCTTTTGGTTTGATTCATATCATATTGCCCAAGATCCTTTATTTGAAATGATGTGCTAATTGTTATGTCAATATTAATGATAATATAATATTGTTTATTTAATAATCTGTGTTGGGTCTTTAAATGTTAACAGATTCAGATTCTACAAGTTCTGAAATAGGACCATGTTTACCAACTAAATTGTTGGCAGTGTTTTGTAATTGCAAGTACTGAAAAGTGTTGGTTGGGTCTTGAGCATTTTTTAAGATGTAAAAGAACGTAATGTAAAAGATAATGTGGCAATAATTTGGTCTCTGTGCTGTGACACAATAGTGCCACTAGATGGCACTTTAAAGTGCTTTTTGCATGCCAGCTCCTAAGGCAACCTTATGCTTGCCAGTGCTTTTTTTCTAAAAAAATGTTTAGGGGTACTTTCATTTTCCTACTTATATTGAAATACTGCCCCTCAATAAGGCCAAACTTAGATTCTCAAAATGTTTAGGTGTATGCGTACCCCCCAGAAAAAAGCACTATAACAAAGGTAGTTATGACATGACATTCTGTCTGACAGCTTCAGGATATCTTAGTAACTTTTCTTCATATGGTCTTCAATATTAAAATAAAAGACAGGTACACGTGTCTGCATGCCTGAACTAGCTGCAAAATGGCCACATTTGCCATATGAGCTGAACATTTATACAGTGGTACCTCGGGTTACAGACGCTTCAGGTTACAGGTTACCCACAAATAGTACCTCGGATTAAGTACTTTACCTCAGGATGAGAACAGAAATTGTGGCGCGGCGGCAGCAGGAGGCCCCATTAGCTAAAGTGGTACCTCAGGTTAAGAACCGTTTCAGGTTAAGAACGGACCTCCGGAACGAATTAAGTTCTTAACCCAAGGTACCACTGTAATATCCTATTATAGCATCCTTTTTAGATAGCAACAGTTTTATAATGGTAGCAATATTACTTGTCACACAACAATCCTATGTAACTGTGGGGCAAAGTATTAAAAGACAAGTATTAATATTGATAAATATATATGTTTGTCAACACCTCTTCTTAGGCGTCTTTACATGAAATATGCACTGGGCTTGCTATTTGATATTTTCAAGCATGGAACTGCAATTGACATGTAAGGATAGTCTATTTTAAACCTAAAGATAAGAATTACATGCTGGCCTATCAGTTCTTCACAGTGCTCAATAAATGTTACTGCATTCCAGCATGTTGGGAAGATGCCAGTATGATCTCTTGAAGAGAGGCATGGCGCTACTTTCTGAACTACAGGATGTAACACTGGAAGTAAGTTACTGAGAAGAAAGGGTTTTACATGACAATTGAAGTAAAATTCATGTATTTGGACTGGGCACACTGTCCTAAACCCTCAGTTGGTACTGTGGACATTACAATATTGTAAGCCGCTTTGAGAACTTTTGCTATAGGATGAACTAAAAGGAAATAAGGGGATTTCTGTAGCATTTTGAGTATTCAAAGCAATTTATATACATTACGTCAATAAGCTTATGCCAACTCTGTAATGTCAGAGAAAGTCTGGCCCAGTGCATAAACTGAAGAGCCTCAAATTCCAAACTTTTGACAGTTACTTAGTGATCTCGGACCAGTTGCTACCTTTCAGACTACTATGAAGAGAAAAGGACCAAAGACTGGTATATTAAGATAATATACTGTAATATATTGTTACTGACACCAGTGTTACAAAGGTTGCGTACCACTCGCAATCTCTGCTAAGCAGTAGCAAGATTCCAGGTGCACAGGGTTATGTTTCCATTAGGAAATCAAAGCACAGCAGAGACTAGTCTTTAAGAAATATGGCTTATTGTACACATATTTACACCTAGGTCTACTTTGGAGAGAGTTCAGGGCATTACATCTCAAGAGTGGCTTGTTATTCACAGGAGTGCAGCATTGGAGTCCAAGGCATCCTGCAAGCCATCTCCGTGCCACTGTGCCAGCCTGCCAAGATGGTTCTGGACTTCACAGCCGCTCATGGAGTTCTTCTCTTGCAACCTCTAGATTTCAAAAGGACACATTTTTCTTGTGTGACATCACACCTCCTGTAACCTTCCCCTCCACAATATTTACCCAGAGGGCAGGCAGAGGGTCAATGACTGGACACTGTTTGGCATTTACACCATGATGGTCTTTCTCCCCAGATCATTTCCTAACATCTGACATCTTTTCTTCATTATTTCAAATTATTTCTAAATTCTACCATTAATTTCTAACATTAACTAGCAGTTATGGGTTCCCTCCCCACAACTGTCACACCAGATTTGCAACAATATATCCATGCTGTAGATGAAGGGTTGTAGTTGACAGATGGTAGATGAGTTCCAAGTACAGTACTCATCTCTGAATACTACACTGCTATCAGGATTTATGACCCCTCAAATACTCTCCCCCTGGAATGGCCTTTTGTAGTCCATTGCTTTCCAAAGCTTTTGGCAGAAACACACTTGCCCGTTAAGCAAGATTTCCTTTTTCTAAATCAGGTTACCATTTAAACCACCCAATTCATAGCCACAATCTGGTTGCATAGTACAGTGTTTCCCAACCGGTGTTCCGCGGCACACTAGTGTGCCGCGAGACGTTGCCTGGTGTGCTGCGGGAAAAATTAAAAAATTCGAAAGATATCCGGAGAGGCGGCCTTCAGGCAAGTTTTAATTTTAATTTTCCTTCTCCCACTTAATGCCCCACGCTCGCCCGAGCAGCTTTCAGTCCTCGGTAACCACGGCGACCCGAGGGAGGGGAGGGAACAGGGAAGTCGAGGGCGGCGGCGAGCCGCGATGACGTCAGTGGGCCGCGCCGCCTCGCCCTGGCACGGTGTGAGAGCCCCGGCTAGTGGCGCGAGCTTCGGAATAAGTGGGATCCGCGTGCGCGAGACCGAGATCGCGGGTAAGGAGCTCAGCCCTGGGCAGGAGGAAGCGGGGCCGCGCGTGCGGGCCACATCCCCACAGAGAGCGAGCCTCCCCCGGCCCACCACTCCGGGCAGGTCCACTCGCATGAGGGGGCGGCGATGGCGACGGCCGGCAGCTTGCCTGCAATGCCATCCCTCGAGCAGGCGAGGAGCCCGGAGGCTACCAGATGCGAGTCCTCTTTCCCACCCTGCTCGGGAGTCCAGAGCACTTGGTCGCATTCAGGATCTAGAGTGGGGAAGCGGGGCTTGTGTCTGGGCTGGACACATTGGGCTGCCTGTGCCGCTCGACCTGCGGGGAGAAATCAGGGTGGGAGTCACGACCGTGAGGCAGGGCTGCCAAGTGTGGCAGAAGAGGACACGGCCGTCGCACCTGTCCTTAGGTAGGAGCTTCTTCCGTGTCGACCTGCTGCCCTAAAGTCTCGGCTTTTTTCTTGGCTTTTTGGTGGTTGGCACAGAAGGAAGGCAAGGGGGAGGGGAAAAATTGAAACTTACACTTTCGTGCGTCCCTCCCGGTGTGACGCTGCGCGCTGACGTCACGGGGCTGTAATGGTGGTGTGCCTCGAGATTTTTTTCATGAAACAAGTGTGCCTTTGCCCAAAAAAGGTTGGGAAACACTGGCATAGTACTGCACTCTTGTGGATAAAGCTCTGGTCCACCTTATACAGTACTAAGATATTTATTGTTGTGCCTGAGAACATAAATTACTGCAAAACGTCTTGTTTTTTGTTAGTCGATTGACCAACGCGCCGTCGAATTTTCGAGCAACAGGAGTATTTTCTAAAAAATATTTTTTAAAATAATATTGGTGGTATTAAAATTCAAACGATATCAGTCGGAAAAGCACTGAAACACTCTAAGAACAAGCAATGTAAACTCCAAGGAGCAGATCTCAGTACGTGGAAGTTTTCACAAAATTTCCACCACGCACGAACTGGGCGCTGCCAACTAGGTAACCTTGCTCCTTCTCCTTCACCCAACTACTTAAGTTCACGGTCGCCTCTAGGGTTTAAACCAGACGGTGCCAGTCATAGGAAGGTCCAGCTAGCAGGCTCGCTCCAAGGTCTGGTGCTTATTGCGCATTCGCTCTCCCTCCACCCGCTTCCCGGTATTTCACGGCCGCTCCAAGGCAAGGCGAGGCAAGGCAATGGAGGGGTGCGGAGCAGAGAGCGGCAGAGCTAGGCAAGATGACAGGATTGGCTCTCGAGAGCGTCGGCGGAGTGACGCAAGCTCGGGGGCCGCGGCGCCCAATCGCAGCGCGCCTTTTTGGACCGCCGCTCCGCCCTTTTGCGTCAGAGAAGGACAAAGTCATTGAGGAAGGGTGATATTCGGCCTTTGAGTGCAGTCGCCGGCCGAGTAGCGGAGCGGAGGAGAAGCGGTTTCCGCCATCTTAGAAGGTGAGTCCCTGAGGGGAATGGGGTGCAGGGGTGGCGTCTCCGTTCTCGCAGCTTTGCCGCGTGTTCAGTCCCGGCTGCTGACGGGGGGCAGTTTTGTTTCCCCCCCCCCACAAGCACGGCGAGGCGGGGGCCTCCTGCTTAACCACATCCCTCGTTCTCCCTCCCGCAGCTTCCTGCCGCCGCCATGTTCTCGTCCATAGTGCCGCTTGTGCGGCTCAACCCATTCCACGCCCCGCAGCTGCAGCTGCAGCAAGACGGACTCAGCCTAAGGAAACTCCCGGCCGAACCCGCGGAGCCTTCGTGCACCCGGCGGAGCCTGGCAGCCGCTTCCGCAGAGGGTAAGTGGGCGGAGTGGGGGGGGGGACGGGGCGCACGACCTTTGCCTCGGTTCTTTCTCTGGAAGGGCCCCCCGGTTTTTGAATTCTCTCTCGGGTGGGGCTTCACCTACTTGGCCCCCTGGGTTCCTCTTGGAGGACATGGAAGGTCAATGCAGGCCGGGCTTGTGCTTGGCTCACGGTGCCTCCTTGCCTGAGCCCCTTCCGTTTCCTCCCACTGGAAAAGGCCAGAATACTCATTCTTGTCTGTGCCTTGAGCCCAGCCTGTGTAGGCCTCGGAGGAGGCTTGCTCCGCGGCGACCTTGGGGCTGGAAGGCGTCGGGCCTAGCCATGCCTTGCATGTGGTTGGGGACATCTTGTCTTCCAGTGCGTGGTCGCCCTCAGAGGCTTAAGGATGCTGCCTGCGCAGAAGCCCAAGGCTAGTAGAAGACGGCATGTCTCCATGGCAACTAGTCAGCGGCCTGGTCCTTCCCCGGGTGGGTAACACTTTTAAAGGAGGGTGGTATGGTGTGGACAAGGTCACAGGCTTAGAATGACACTGGGAAGAGCAGGTGAGGCTAAGTAGTTTTCCACACTCTCGTTTACCTTGAAGAGTTTATTAGGTCGATACAATGTTGCAGTTATGTAAGCAACCAATATTTTTAAGTCTCATAATGAAAATAAGCAAACTTCCATACAAATGTTATCCATCAACTTTGTCCCGTTAGTGCCATATCTGTTTTCTTACAGTGACACAATATCTACTACTAAACCTGTCCTTTATTTAATTGCATAGGGCAGCCGTATATTAGAAAAAAAGAGTGAAGAAGGTTTTGTAGCACATTTAAAAGATGAACATGGCTGTAGTGGCCTGTGAAAAGAATAGACACTGCTTTGTCAGATGCATGAAGCATCATTGTCTGTTGGCACATACCAACATGTCATTCATGATATATAACTCAATTAAGCTTTGTTTTTTGTATTTAAAAAAATCAAAAGAGACCCTTATATAGCAGTTCCTTTTTATGTTACAAGAACCCTGAAATGATAAGAGGTTGGTGCATGTAGCTTTGAGGCAATAGTTTTGAATCCAAGATGTACCTTATACGTACTTACTTGCCTTAATTTTTTTTATAATGAATAAATCCTCACAATATATTCTTACAAAGATACTGGGTTAATCATGTGAAGATCTATTGACCAGCGAGTGTTTATATGCCCATGTAAAGAATTGCACAGCAGTAACTTGTGAAATTACTTGTTGGTTTAGACCTTACAAGGCAATCTGAAATCAGGGCCTGGTAAGTTACCTAAAACAATGAGCAAACACAATCAAGCTCTGTTGAATTGAATTGAAATAATTTTTTTTTGTTTTATATCCTGTATATATGTTATTTTGGCATAACTGGAGATTTACCCTTATCTAATATTTATGTGGCTTTTAATACCTGCACAGCACATCTCTTGGAAGAAAGTGTTGCCTTAAGCAGAATGCACCTTGTAAATACCTATATTTTGGTCATTCCTATGACACGTGCAGTAACTATGATATTATTTTGAATCCCATTCATGTTGGCATAGACATCTTTGTCAAGTAGCACACCAACCTACGTGTTGATATTGATACTGGTCTTTGAACATGGTTATTTGAAAGTGAATTAAGATCCATTTTAATTACTTTGAGAATGTTTTCAAGCAGTCTTGGTAAAAACAATAAATGCTTTTAGTTGCCTACTACCACTTCATAAATTTTGGAAGACAAACTTCTTTTAGGAGAAAAGTGAAATTTCTTGATTGAGCTTACATAAGTTAATGCTAACTTCAAATGCCATATTCTGTAGTTTGTCAACTTGTACTTATCTCTTTTTAAGCAGAAGACTATAGCTGTGCATATGGCTCTGGCAGATTCTTCATCCTTTGTGGCTTTGGTGGGATTATTAGCTGTGGTACCACGCACACAGCATTGGTTCCTTTAGATCTCGTTAAATGCCGAATTCAGGTTTGATTGCATGTCAAGTTGGTTATCATAGCATGATAACAGTGTGAAATCTTACTAATCAAAAGGAAACAAGGCTTGGATTTCATCCAAATAAAGTTTTTTATATCGTTGCATGTAGTTTATTTAACAGCATGGTGTGTCTTTTCTTTGCTGCAGAAGAATACAGTTGTGAATATGGCTCTCTCAAGTTTTACGCTCTCTGTGGCTTTGGTGGGGTCCTAAGTTGTGGTCTGACACATACAGCAGTGGTACCTTTGGATTTAGTGAAGTGTCGCATCCAGGTTTGTATGCTGCCAAATATGGATTCCCCCCCCCCCCATCATTTGGGATGAAATAATTGGACAAATTTGAAATTGAGCCAGATTTAGTTAGGAACCATGTAACTGGCATTTGACAAATAAGCAGTAATGGCAGATACTTGTGTTTGAAAGCTTCATGAGTAATCAGAAACCATGATTTATCAAATTTATATCTCCAGCACAAATACATGTAAAATATTTGAGCCTAATATATTTGAATACTAAACATTCAGAATCTTTATAATGCATGTAGCATAAAGGCGGAATGACTTCATGCATGTGTCATTTCTTTGTTGTGGAGTTATAATTTGAAGAAAAGATAATGATCCATGCATTTGACAATGGAAACTTTGACAGTGGAAGCTTGAATATGTGAGGATGTAATCAATGAGAAACAGTATGATCCTTTGAAAATTAGCTTAGAAGTTGCACTGAGTTCAGTGGGAATCACTCCCAAGGAAGCGTGCATAGGATTTTAGCCATATAATGAACCAACCTCTAGCTTTATGGCAGAAGGAAGTTGGTTAGGTGGAATGAAGAATCTGAAGTTAACCCTTTGCTTATATTTGTAATATATTAAAAAGAGTGCTTTGGTTTTAGATATTTTAGATATTTATTTCACAAAGTTGATTCAACTATTATATTCCTCTAAAGCAGCTAAAAGTATTGAGGAAATATGCTTGAGCTGTGTATGATACAAGTATACATTACAGAAAATGTAATCCTGTTCATGCAGAAGTCAGAAAGAGGCCAGGAAGTAAGATGAAAGGTGAAATGGAACAAGTCAGTAGAGGGCGACAGGAGGTAGGAAGGTAGGACCAGAGAGTATTAACATCTTATAAAGTCATTTTTTTTTTACAAAATAGCATATTGCCAATTTCTGCATAAAATATTTTTGTTATATTGAAGTTTTTACTGAGATTGCACATATCTAGGCAAACCTTAAATAGCTGTAACAAATTGCAGCCTTTTTCAGAACATTTATGCAGAACTTTTCTGAGTACTTCTTTTTACAATTGATTTATTAATTGCTTTCTAAGCCATCGTTTCAGATGCATTTACATATAAGATAATGAAACACTTGAACACAAAAGCTAATACATTTAAAACAATACAAAAACCCTAATAAGTGGACACTTGTTAATTACCCATTGATTCAGTTGAGGCAGTACTGGTGTACTTACAATGAAGAGTAACAATTCACCCCACCCCAATGCGCTGTTAGTTTTGGTGATATTAAAGTTTTAATATCTGCATACTGATACTGTCCCTTTTTGCTTTTACATATTCTTGCAGTTCAACCCAATTCCCGTCTTCTTTCACTTAATGCAAGTCGTATTTGCTACTGCCTTAATCCTTCAAAATCCTTCTCCCAACTCAAGCACATTCATAATTCGTTGCTTAATTGAACATTTCAATATTGGATGATTACAATTCTTCTGTTGTAGAATTAACTTAGTTATATGGTGCATCACAGCTTCCAGTGTACCACGTAGAATGATACACTGTTAGCACTGGATGTGTCTTTGATTAAATTTCCAAATTGATGAGTAGAGCTGGTTTGGCCAGTTGCGTATATCTTATATATGCATATATATTTAAGTTGCGTCAAAACCCAGGAATCTTATACTTGCAGCCTATATTTGTTCTTTATCTTACTACTTGTCACAGAACTTTCTCTTTTTTCCCCCTTCAAAAATTACTTCCACAAAACCTTTCATGAAGTTCTGCAATCATCTTGCCACTGTCAGTTGACTTGTCATTTTTAACATTTTTAATCTTTCTCTTCACTGCATTCTTCTTCACTTGGTAAAAATCCTAAACTCTTTAAAACAATCATTAAGTACGATGTCTATATGTTTGGAGTATATTGGTTGTTCCTGTGAATGTGAGAAAGGTTAAAAAAAATTATTAACTGCTGACTTCTCAAAACTTGTTTAGGTGGATCCACAAAAATATAAGAGCATCTTCAACGGCTTTTCAGTTACTGTCAAAGAGGATGGTGTTCGTGGTTTGGCAAAAGGATGGGCTCCAACATTTATTGGATATTCCATGCAAGGGCTCTGCAAATTTGGTTTCTATGAAGTCTTCAAAATCATGTATAGCAACATGTTGGGAGAGGTAAGTTTATTTATCCTGCAGTTCAGCACCCCTTTATTGTGAATTTGTCCAAGGAATATCATATGAACATATTTTCTGGTCTGTTTAATTTTATTTCAGGAAAATACATATCTGTGGCGTACATCACTATACTTAGCTGCATCTGCCAGTGCAGAGTTCTTTGCTGATATTGCTCTGGCTCCAATGGAAGCTGCTAAGGTGCGCATTCAGACACAGCCTGGGTATGCAAATACACTGAGACAAGCTGCTCCAAAAATGTTTGCAGAAGAAGGTGTTTGGGCGTAAGTATTACAGCAGTTAAGTCATGGCCCTAAAGTGGCTCTTGATGATCCTGCACAGCTCCTTGTTTATGAACTGTTAAGCTTTGATCATGGATATTATTGCTTTAGACACGCAGCAGAGTTCTGAGTTCTTAAGCAATATGAGCCAACATGCTCCCTTAGATCCATCTTTGTTAGATGTCTCTTGTGCTGAGTTCTGCTTACAGCTTTGGTTTTGAGTAGTTCCAGCCAAGAGGGATCAACAACTTTATGGTTGTACAGTCAAAGATGCTTGAGTCATTGGCATGTGAGAATAATATACCTTCACTCTGGTCTTTTATGTTCTGATAGCAATGGCTGTAATACAATACATGTCATTTTCCACTATCAGGATTTGGCTGGATTGTGGACATTTATCAATCAATTCCAAGATTAAAGGCAAAAGGGACTATATACCCATTGTTCTTTTAAGAGCGAGGCTAGAGGTTTAGGTTGTTTCTGATATGACTAGTTTGAAAGAAACACTGCAATGCAACTGTGTTTTCACAAGGGAAGGCATCACTAAACTTAATTCAGTCTTTGCTAATACTGGTATTTCTAGTGTGTGCATAAATCAGGGGTCAGCAAACCTTTTCAGCAGGGGGTCGGTCCACTGTCCCTCAGACCTTGGGGCGGGCTGGCTATATTTTTGGGGAAAAAACTATGCAAGAGTACCACGAGTTGCAGTGGCTGCTTACCTGTGTCTTACGAGCAGCAGGGGCTAGCGGTGGTGGTGGCAGAACAGTGATCGGCATGCGAAAGGGCTCTGGAGAGGGGTGGCTTAAAATGGCAACCACTTGAGTTCTGCTGCTGCTGCCACCAACAAAGCCCAGCCCCCTTCCTCTTCTAGGCAGGGTGGGGAGAAACCAGGAGGAGGGAGGGAGGAGGTGCTGCTACCGTGTGAGGGAGAGGGAAAAGAAAGTGTGCGCTGGCGATCCACGTGGCAATTCCCGGACTGTCCATGGGCCGGATCCAGAAGGCAGTTGGGCCTGATCCGGCCCGCGGGCCTTAGTTTGCCGACCCATGGCATAAATGACATGGTTGTTTAGTGCAAAATGTTAGTCACGCCTGTGTTTCCTGGGGTGTCACACAGGTGTCTTTCCCTGTTCTGCCTAATAGTGCCAGGTTTTGAGCCTGGGACCTACTATATTAAAACTATGTGCTCTGCCATTGAGATTTATTTGTTACATTCAGGTAGCGTAACTGATTTGAATTCCCGTGTCTTCCAGAATTAATTCCAAATCAGAAGCGCTTAAATTTGGGATTTCTAATTGTTTTGTCTACTTTGAAGTTTCTACAAAGGTGTTGTTCCATTATGGATGAGGCAGATTCCATACACCATGATGAAATTTGCCTGCTTTGAAAGAACTGTGGAAGCGCTTTACAAGTACGTTGTCCCGAAACCAAGGAGCGAATGTTCAAAAGGAGAACAGCTGGTTGTTACATTTGTAGCAGGTTATATAGGTAAGGAAATCTAACTTTTTGGAATATAGTAACAGTTTAGTATTCATGAGCAAGTCCGAAGAAGAGTCTGGCTTGCATGCTTCCTTGTATTCTCCCATGTATGCAGATTAAAATGCCTTCAGCAGCATTTTATTTCACTTTCATAGGATCTTGGTTTGCCCTTGCATACAGATGATAAATACTAGTATAATAAACTCCAGCTTTATGGAACACGGGTGGTGCTGTGGTCTAAACCACTGTGCCTAGGGCTTGCCGATCAGAAGGTCGGTGGTTCAAATCCCCACGGCAGGGTGAGCTGTTGTTCAGTCTCAGCTCCTGCCAACCTAGCAGTTTGAAAGCACGTCAAAGTGCAAGTAGATAAGTAGGTACCGCTCCGGCGGGAAGGTAAACGGCATTTCCGTGTGCTGCTCTGGTTCGCCAGAAGTGGCTTAGTCATGTTGGCCACATGACCCGGAAGCTGTAAGTCAGCTCCCTCAGCCAATAAAGCGAGATGAGCGCCACAACCCCAGAGTCGTTCGCTACTGGACTTAACTGTCAGGGGTCCTTTACCTTTAAACTCCAGCTTTAAAAGCCAGCTTTATAAACTATGGTTTAGTGGGCTTGTTTTGAAACTGACCTGTTTGACAAGCACCAGGAAGCCACTGCCCTGAATCACACAAGTCGCATTCAGATTTGTGGATGTTGCACACAAAATTGGCCAATGTCTTTAGTAGGTTCTGCAGGATTATTGAATTATCTAACTGCTTTTAAAGTGACAGGGGCATCTAATGATGCAAGTATGTTATGTAATGAGTTGTGGAGATCTCATCTCCCTATAGCAGTTTTGAGTCAGTCTCCTGTTGACATAGGATCTTTCTGGAATATGTATAAACATATTAATGAATATTTTAAATTAATGGTGACTACTTGCTTTTCAGCTGGGGTGTTCTGTGCCATCGTTTCACATCCTGCTGATTCTGTGGTATCCGTGTTGAACAAAGAAAAAGGCAGTTCAGCTGCTCAAGTACTGAAGAGGCTGGGATTTAAAGGTGAGGATTTAAACTGATACTGAACTGTGAAAGTGCATGAATAATTCCAGATACTAATAATGTTATGTTCCAACAGGTGTATGGAAGGGTCTGTTCGCCCGTATTATTATGATTGGTACTCTGACAGCACTACAGTGGTTCATCTATGACTCCGTGAAAGTTTATTTCAGACTTCCCCGCCCACCTCCACCAGAGATGCCAGAATCTCTGAAGAAAAAGCTTGGTCTTTCTGAGTAGATGGATCATGGACTGAATGGCTAAATAACATCACGAAACTTTATACACATGGCAATGTAGGAGAATAAAGTATTTGTTTGCTCAGGCCTCACTGTTGCTGTTGGTCAAAATAAAATACTAGATTGACAAGTGTTTGTCTTAGTTTTCAGCCTGTTGGAAAAAAATGGTTTCATGGCGGCTAAGGGAACTGGTCTCCTCCTGAAAAAGGACCCCTCACGTGTTGCTACTGACAGTTGGTTAAAGCAGAGAAGAAAATAATGAATTTCGAGTATTTTACAAGTATGATCTACCAAACTGCTTTGCCTTAACGTGAGTTCACTTGAGTGTCTGTGAAGGCAGTTCTATAAATTAGGTAATCAGGTTCTTGCTTTATATCTTTTCACTTTAGTGGTAGGTTGGGTAATTATGTTTACAAATGTTTATCACTAACCCAGTGAGAGATGTATGTATTCAAAGTATATGTATGACCAGTTAATACTGCTGCCACCATTATTATTGAAAGGTCTTGGCATATCTATCAGCAAGGATATGTTATTATTTGTTGCTTTTTTGCCATGGCAAGTAAGAACAAGTTATATTTTAAAGCCAGAAACAAACACTATTAAAACATCCTACCCATGCAAAATGGCAGTAGTTAAAGCTGGAGGCCTGGTTAAAAAGGAATGTGCCTGAAGATATGTAATGATGGTGTCAGACAAGGCTTTCCTGGGAGAGCATTCCACAAGTGGGGAGCCACAATTGACAAGGCTGGTCTTGTGTTGCCACCCTCCAGATCAGCACCTGGTCATAAATCCATTGCTAAATAGGCCCCGCAGTACCCTGATGCTGTTATGGAGTGTCCGTTGCCATGTGAAACAGATATGGGGATATATGCTGGTTTAGAGCCCTTTTGCAAACTGGAGACACATAGCCATATGGATGCCCAGCCTGAAGGAGTTCCGAGTGGTCAGAGGCTGAAATAAAAAGCTGTGGGCTGTAATCAAGGTGAGTCATACTCACGCAGATGCACTAAAATCAAGTGTTATATATGCATTTGTTATCAGCCATCTACAAATACTCAACAATTGTTACCTCAAAAGATCCACCTAGTGCTGTTTACAGCAGCACCAGGCATATTTCTAGAAAGCCCAAAAGCAAGATGTAACAGCTGTCCTTTAATAACTGCCAACTGGTATTTAGTAATGTAATTTATTTGAAAAGTTCAATTTGATTCCAATGTCTAATAACTGCATGGCTTCCTAAATCGAACCATTGGGTCATCTACCTTGGCAGTGGCCGTTCAGGATTTTGGAAATACCCTCCCATTTAAAAGCTGTTTGCCACCATTTATACTGCATGCAACTGAACTCCATCGAGATGTATTTGTAAAGTCATTTTTCTGCCAATGAATTGATTAGGGGACCCAGAATTCTATTTCAAGAAAAATCATTTCCCACAGGTATACAAATGTCCCTAGTAATTTTTCTTCTACGCACTCAGTCATGTTTTTATATAACTTTATTAGCTCTCATTTGAGATGGAGTGACTGAAACTGTATACAGTACTACTCTAAACATGGGTCTACAATCCACCCATAAAAGGTATTGAACAACTTTTTTAAAATACCTTATAAGTGTGTGCATATTATATTACCCAGTTGATGTCAGTTCTCAACTCTAAATATGGAGGATTTCCCCCCCTTTTTACAGTCAATCTGTAGATTCAGACAAATCATCAAACTTGCCTCCAGAATAGGTTTCCTGAAAAATGGGAGGGCTGCTGATCCGCAGAGCCTGCCCCTAATGTGGAAGGGGAGATTTCCTTACTGTACTTCAATGTGTGGGGACATTGAGCAGAATTCTGCTTGCATTATTCTTTTGGTTTAATCTATTTTTGGTCTGCAATCATCTTTTTAACATCCAATACCATTCAAGACTTACTGAAACATGTTTTACAAACACAACTTTGTGGTTTATAAAAGAATTTTTGATCTAGTTATCATTGATTGAATGTAACTCAATTATATGTGACACTCCTACTTGCAAGGCTGTAGTCCTCAATAGTTCCTTGGGTGTAAGTTGTAGTGAACATGACAGCACCATCTTATGCACATTTTACTCTATGAATTCAATTTGCTGTAAGCAGATAATCGTAAATTCACTACTGCTTCAACCCCAAAACTTAAATCTTGAAGAGTAACCCAGCAACCTCAAGCAGTGCTAGAACTGAGGCTTGATGTGATAGGACTATTTCAAATCTGAAACTTCACTTAGCTCATCACTCATAGTCTTAACATCACTCTGAGCAGAAGTCAAATTGACGAGTTTCTTACTCAGGAAAGAAATTTCTTTCTGTCTTTCCATTAGATCCCCAAGCAGTCTTCCTATTCTTAATGTTAGTTCATCTAGCATTGGTTCCAAGTGTGCCAAATCCATCTTTAAGTTGTGTACTTTTGGTTTTAAGTCATTTGCAAAGGCTACTGTTGTAAGAACTTTGGCTCTATCACTTTCCAAATCTAAAAGCTTATTTAATTGCTTGTTAAGTTCAGCATTCAGCTCAGATGATTTTGTCTTAATGTGTTCTATTTGTCTGGCATTTTCAGATGCAGAACTCCGTAGTATTGTAGTCCTGTCAATGCTGTTTGTAAGGAGAGTCCCTATACTTTTTATTGTAGTCTTTTCAGCTTTATCAACTTTGTCTTCTAGAGTATGTAGATTCTCTACCAGTGAGGTTACATCTGCTTCAAGACCTGAAATGCGTCTAATATCAGTCTTCACAGCAGCAATCTTTACAGAGAAGTTATTAGTTACTGAAGTTATAATCTCCTCATACTTAGTAACTGCACGAAAGAGAGATGTTAAGTTCTGCTGAAGCTCCTCTTCTTCTTGACTTAACTTACTAGACCAGATCTGCATGGTGTTCACTTCCTCCTGCAGTCGCTTCATCTGAGCAATTATATGAAGATCTTCCAGTTGTTCCATTAAGCTTAATGTCTTCTCACACTAAGAATTTGAAAAAAATCATAAGAAAATTGCATTTTAATTTTATACCAGCTGTCTTGAAATTTAATTAAAACATTAGTGTACAATATGTTCTTTAGTGTTTCCCTCAAACTTTAAAGAGAGAAAGGATGTGCAACTCATACATATGTTCCTGATTAATTTATTAAACAATGGTGTTAGGTCCCAAAAACAGGCAAAATGGAGTGCCAGGGGCGTATTTAGTTTTCTAGCAATGGGAAAAATTGTAAATCTTGATTCTCATCAACAAGCACTGTATGGAAACAAAGAGAAAAACATATGAAAACTGAGGAGGAGCAATCAGACCTTGTCTACATCCTCACTTTACAAGTTGGCTCCTTAACATTTGTGTATTCCAACAAAGCAAAACAAGATAATATAATAGCTTGTTATAATTACAACTGATGTTCTTTCTAATAAAATACACTTTGGGTGGCAATTTTCCAGAAAAATGGCACACAGGCGAATGCATACAAAACTAGCATATAGTACTTTAATAGGTTCTACTATCCAGAAAAAATGGTGTTGCTGCATTTTAGTTACTGTTAAAGCAAAACAAATGTGTTTGTGAGAATAATGGTTGGTTTTTCAAAGTCATGTTCAAAGGAAAATTGTTTCCTTCCTACCAATCACACCCAATTGTACCATCTCATTCTAAATAACTATTATTTTTCTGACTTGCCTGATTCCGTGCAGCATATGCAAGTGGTGAAGTGGGAATACCTTTCAGATGACAATTAATATGCCTATGGCTTTATTACATTTCTTTCCATATCAATTAAATATCTATAGTTTCCCCTGCCTTTACTTCATAAAGCCCTTATTTACATAGCTGTCAACTTTTCCCTTTTCTTGTAAGGAATCCTAGTCGGAATAAGGGAATTTCCCTTAAAAAAAGGGAAACGTTGACAGCTATGCTTATTTATCATTATACCTCTTAGCTTTGTGATAATCCAATTGTAATCTTATATCTGTATCCATACCTGCTTTCTTTGAAAGCATGGTGTCCAAACTTTGTAACAGTTAATCCTGCAAAGGCATTTAAAACAACCTTTTAAGTTGAAATCAGTCTAAGTACATTAACTTGAATAATTCAGCTTAACACATTAACAGATATTGTATGTCTTCCTAATACAATGTAGTATTTGAGGGGTAAAGTACAACAAACATGCAAATACATATTCCAATAAAAAACGCCACACAGGAATGCAAACGTATTTTCACCTTTTCAAATTCTCATGTAAAGGGAAAATTTTGCTTATTTCAGTGAATAAGGTAAAGGGACCCCTGACCATTAGGTCCAGTTGTGGCCAACTCTGGGGTTGCGGCGCTCATCTCGCTTTATTCGCCGAGGGAGCTGGCGTACAGCTTCCGGGTCATGTGGCCAGCATGACTAAGCTGCTTCTGGCAAACCAGAGCAGAGCACAGAAACGCCGTTTACCTTCCTGCCGGAGCGGTACTTATTTATCTACTTGCACTTTGATGTGCTTTCGAACTGCCAGTCAGCTAACTGAAGTTGCAATTGCTTCAGCAATCCTGTACTGTTCATTATGACTAGTTCACTCATCATTCACACTCTGGTAGTTTTCTGTATTTTTTTCTGTTTCTGTTGTAGATTCTGCAAAGTCATGGACTTTCTCCTTTAACAGAAGCACTTCATTCTGCAGTCTTAGTAGGCTGTTATCATACTGCATGCCTTCAAGAGTTTTTTGTATGTCCATTATATCAGATACAGCTTTCATCATTTCATCTTCCACGCTGAACACTTTTGTAGTCATGTCTTCCATTTTCTTCTCTACAGCCATCAGATCCCTTGATATTCTAACAACAGAGTGAATGGCATTCTCTATTGTTGGTAAATGAGTTTTGCACTCTTCCAGTTTGGGTTCATAGCCTGCAAGCTTTTGTCTCAGATCATTATTTTTGGCTAATATACTGTTCTGCTGTTCTTCTAATTTTCCAACTGCCTTGGTATCAGACTGCAGCTGCTGCTCAACTTTAGCCAGTTCATCTTCCTCTTGCCTACTTAATGTTTTGAGGTTTCTTACAGTACTGTCTTCAAGATCTTTCAGTCTTTCAGAAAGGGATTTTAGTTTTTGATCTGCTGCATTGATTTGAGAGGTCACTTCAATATGTAAAAGCCTGGCTTCCAATTTTAAACTGCTAGTATTTGAATCCAGTTCATTCTGGCTCTTTTCCCAGGACTTGATTATATTTTGAAATTTTGCACCAGTGGTCTGCATCCTTTTAGAGAGTGCCTGCTCACTGTTCTGAATGTCATTTATTATGTTACGGAGGTTAGATACTTCTTGTTCAAACTTGGTCACCATGGAGAGAAAGAAAGAGGCTTCCTGCAGGATACCCGAAGATGATTCAAACTGCATTTGTAACACAAAACAATGTCCATCTTCACTTAATACAGATTTTGCACTTTTTAAAAAATATAAAACAAAGGTTTCGATAAACATAAGTTTTAAGATACATATTCCAAATAAGTCGTTCATGTGTGAGTGGGTGGGTCTGTATATATGAGAGAGACTGAGTCCACATGCGTTTGGCAACTAACAGTTTGTTGATTAATATTAATCTGATCTATGCAAACTTTCAAAACTCTGCATAGCTTTATTTAGAAAAAAACTAAACAAATTTCACTTTAGAATTAAAATTCCAGAAACGTGTTTTGAGTTGGCCAAATGTACTTCAATATGTTGCCATAGGGAGGAATGAATTGCATTACAAGGTAGCCTGGAGGCAGTAATTTCCTACAAAACAGTATGCTCAGATATTGACTGTTCTGAAGTATTTCAAAAATTGGATTATTTTGCAGTTTTAAAACAAACTTTGTTCTGGCACATGACATAATTCTTATTTGGCACTGGATAGCAAGACTTTTAGTTGCTTTTGTAAATCCACATGCATACATAGCCTCAAGTCTATGGCTGACATCCAACCCATAGCGCACTTGTGCAAATGGGTCTCCCCTCTGCAGACCACACTCCCCCCCCCCCCCCGATTTGCTCTGGGAAGTTGGAGGACCCTTCACAATAGATTAGAGGGTACAGGAAGGGGGGGAGAGTAAAGGACATTCCTGTTGTATCTTCTAGCGTGACACTCGTCACTCAGTTTCCAACCTTTTGGCTGTCTTTGTGTAATCTACTCAGAAAAAAGTTCAGTGTTACTTCCAGGAAGTTTGTATAAGATTGCAACTTTAAGCATCTGGTTTTGAGAAAAGAAACTGACTTAATATATGGATGGCAAATGTAATTACTAAACTTGATTTTGCACCTGAGTGTAGTTTATCTAGCAAGGTACAGTTAATACTAGTTAATAAAAAATATATCAGACTTTAGAGAAGTTGAGAAACACCCACACCATTAAAATGACACCCTTTCGAATTACCTTTTCAGATATTAAGTTAATCTTATTTTCTGTATCTTGAAACTTGGCAGCTTCCTGCTTTAATAAATAGTATTTCTCTTCCACTTCAGCCAGCTGAGCTGACTGCTGAAAAAGAAACCTGGGAAATGTAGAAAAACAGAATCAGCAAACTTACAAAAGCAATAGACTTATTCCACGTTACTGAATCACCTACTTCAGCACAACTTGCAATCCAAAAATATGGCTGCATAAATATTGGGATGAACTGACTCTCTGCAATTTCTTGGGTAGCCCAATCCTATACATGTTTAGTTAGCAGTAAGTTGAGTTGAATGGGATTTATTCTCAAATAATTGCATGTACGATTTCAGCTTAGCCTTGATTTTATAATTCAGTTACAAATATATGCCATAATTAAAGAGCAAATGTGAAGGATTCCGTTAGGGCATGATGTTTATACTTAACAGTATAGACAGATGACTTGAGCCCAAAAGCTGAACCTGCCAAGCAGCTGAAGATGAAAAAACGGGTTTGGGGTTATCATTTGCAGAAGACATCAGTGTAAAGACAAACTTTCCAGTCATTTTGCTTACCATGTCAGCCCTAGGCAAGCTATAAGGGACAGTAAACTTGAGGCTGTTCGTGGGTCCCACCAGCCGGACTTTTCATCACCAGTAGTCCTCAACATCGGTGCTGTCTTCCCTTGATCTTCAGTTGATTTGCCTGAAAGGTTAGCTTTCCTTCTTTGCTTAACTTCAGCCATGTTTCCAACCTCTTATATGGGAATGCCTGCATAGATCAAGCGGGGGTGGGGTGGGGGACGACAACCCGCTACTTACAAATCTTTTCAAAAATGGACTGTGCCCCCCCCCCGATCCTATGCATGTTTCATTAGGAAGCAAGTCAGTGGAGCGTTAGCCTTGCAGAGGCATCTTAAGCCTGCCCCCTAAGGAACGCAAGTGCAGAACTAATAAATAATAATAATAATAATAATAATTTATTTATACCCCACCACTCTGGGAAGCTTCCAACAGAACACTAAAATACAATAACCTATTAAACATTAAAAGCTTCCCTAAACAGGGCTGCCTTCAGATGTCTTCTAAAAGTCTGATAGTTATTTTTCTCTTTGACATCTGGTGGGAGGGCGTTCCACAGGGCGGGTGCCACTACCGAGAAGGCCCTCTGCCTGGTTCCCTGTAACTTGGCTTCTCGTAGCGAGGGAACCACCAGAACCACCTCAGTGTCCAGCCAGAATGATGGAGGTGGAGACGCTCCTTCAAGTATACTGGACCGAGGCCGTTTGGGGTGCAACCCCAAACATCCTTGCTCCCTAGCCAGGATGTTTGGGGTTGCACCCTTCATGCTCATAATCCCTCATTCAACCCGTTCCCTTTTCTCCTTGCTCCCTAGTTTAGCACCCCACCCACCCCCGTTACCAAGGAGGGGGCGGAAGTTCTCCCAACTTTTCCCTCGGCCCCCGGGTCTTCACGCGCATACATCCACTTCTCGGCGCCACGTCAAAGCGCATGCTCGCCAATACTTACCCCACCCGCCTAACTTCGCGGGCGCGAGAGGGGCGGTCGAACGAAATTCACGAGCCAGTATAGCGAAAGGCGCGCGCGCTTCCTTTCTTCCTTTCTGGTTGGCTGGCGGGTGCCGAGCACACGGCAGCGCGCGCGCCCGCGGCCGACTCGGGTCCACGAGCCTCCGCGGCTTTGTTTCGCCCAGCGCCTCTTGGGGGGCTTCTTGAGAGTCGGGTGCTCCGTCGAACTAGGCGCCTCCCCTCGGAAGGTGCGGTGCGGACTCGCCCCGCCCCCGCTCAGCCATTCGCCTTGCCCCGGGGAGGAGGAAGTGGCCGCTATTTCCTGGGTGCCCCACCCGGGGTGAGAAGAAGCAGACCCTGTCAGAGAACCTGCGCCCCTGCCCCACTCCCCACAAAGCGCGCACGGTGCTGCTTGTGTTCCTCAGGTAACCCTTCCGGCAGCCGTGAGGTGGGGGGGGGGGCAGAGGGGGCGTAGCCTTGTGAGGAGAAAATAAGAAAGACACGAACAGGCGCGAGAGAGAGGGGTGGGGAAGAAGGGGGTGAGGTGGGGAAGAAGGGGGTAAGAGACGGTTTGGGTGGGGGTCACACATAGGAGGGGCGCATTTAGATGGGGGAGCTTCGCGTTGCTGAATTATCCGGGGCGGGGGAGTGGGCCGCCTGCCTATTGACTTCTCAAAAGTCCGCTCCTGTACTGTATTTGTTGATTAAGGCAAATGAGGGGCTGGGCTTGGGCATTATAACATATAGATTTATATGCACATATGTCCCCGGGGCAGTCACTAAATTCTGGTGGTAATCTGTTGCCTGAAGACGCCACTTGATGCACCTGACAGCGCAAATCCCAGTAACAATGGATTATTCAGTTTTTCGGATGCACTTCCTTAAGTCTTTTGTTCCGCATAATTCTGATGGCTTATGTGGGCAAATATCCAAGATCATATGTCATCCCTCTACTTGCCTTTTGTCTAGGTGCTAGTTTGTCCTTGCTTATCTGGAGCAGAATGGCTTCAGTTGGTGAAGTCTAGAGACTTAACATTATTTTGCAAGTTTGTTTTTTGCTTGTGTGTGTATTCAGATGGGTAGACAAGATAACTGGCAGCGTGTGCTTTAAATAACTTCTTCTATACTTGGAACCTACGTTGCTGTTGCCAGCAGCTTCTTAGTAATTGTATGGACCAATAAAGTATAAAGAGGTAAACAATAGTCTCCTAGTGTGTGTTGCACTGTACTACAGAAGTTTGTAATTTACCGTATTTTTCGCTCTATAACACGCACCTGACCATAACACGCACATCGTTTTTAGAGGAGGAAAACAAGGGAAAAAATATTCTGAATGAAACAGTGGACGTATCATTTTTGTGCTTCATGCTGTGGCCACAGACATGTGATCTGATGGTGAATTTGGGGTGACCCAATGCAAAAATCCTGAGAATCCCTGTGGATCCATGCTTTGTAACCACGTTTTTGCACCATTGCAGCCCCAGGCAACAGTGGGTGCATGATTTTTTTGGGGGGGCAGGCTGTAGCCATGGACATGCTATGTGCTCTGATGGTGAATTTTGGCTGACCCAATGCAAAGATCCTGAGGATCCATGTGGACCCATACTTTTTAACCACGTTTTTGCACCATTGCAGCCCCAGGCAACAGTGGGTGCGTGATTTTTTTTTGGGGGGACAGGCTGTAGCCATGGACATGCTATGTGCTCTGATGGTGAATTTTGGCTGACCCAATGCAAAGATCCTGAGGATCCATGTGGATCCATGCTTTGTAACCACGTTTTTGCACCATTGCAGCCCCAGGCAACAATGGGTGTGTGATTTTGGGGGGGCAGGCTGTAGCCATGGACATGCTATGTGCTCTGATGGTGAATTTTGGCTGACCCAATGCAAAGATCCTGAGGATCCATGTGGATCCATGCTTTGTAACCACGTTTTTGCACCATTGCAGCCCCAGGCAACAATGGGTGTGTGATTTTGGGGGGGCAGGCTGTAGCCATGGACATGCTGTGTGCTCTGATGGTGAATTTGGGGTGACCCAATGCAAAGATCCTGAGGATCCATGTGGATCCATGCTTTGTAACCACATTTTAAGTGGGGAGGGAAGGAAAAACACAGAAGGCTAACAATGCAGGAGAGGGCTATAACGTGAGGAAAGGAAGGCAAAAGTTTCCCCCCACCCACCCACACAAGCCAGCCAGCGTGCTCTCTCTCTCTCTCTCTCTCTCTCTCTCTCTCCCTCTCCCTCTCCCTCCCACCAGCATGACAGAAGAAAGCATTTTAACTGCATTAAGAACTATTTAGCAGCGAAACCTAAGCTTTGCCATCCCTTAAGAGGTACAGACACTGTAATCTTCCAGATCGCATGAATTTACAGGCAAAACACTGTTTAAGGATTTCATCCTTTTAAATGGAAGAAAGCATATTTGAATGCTGTGTGTCTCCAAAAACAAAAAGCAGGAAGTCAAATCAGAATTTTAAGCCGAACCTGTAATCTCTCTTCCCTTCACAAACATTGTTCCCTCCGGAGCAGGGAGAGGAATTAGAAAGACGCTCTGCTCTCCTCTCTTCTTGCCAGGAGGGGAGGGGCTTTCCCTGCTCTTTGTTGAGTTTGAGCAAACACAGCAACGAAACAGAGCAGGGTGGGCAGTAAGACCCTGAGGCAGAATGCAGGAAAGCAACAGCTTCCTCTCTCACGGAGCTCCCTTCTCCCTGAAGCGCGGTTTGATTTTTGCCTCATTTTTCGGCTCCAGGGACCACACATTCGCTGCATAACACGCACAGACATTTCCCCTTCCTTTTTAGGAGAAAAAATCTGCGTGTTATAGAGCGAAAAATACGGTATGTTCTGCATTAGTCTAGCAGCGACTTCTACTGGAAAGTCTTCTGTTAACTTTATCTGTGTTCTAATGATGTGTGTGTTTTTTAATTGTCATGTGGATTTAGCTGTGTTTTATGTACAATTTCATTTGTCCATTGCTTGGAGAGCACTTTGATCAAGTAGTTTTTAAACCTTTAGAGTGTTTCGTCAACATTAATTTTAAAATCTCAAGCTTCCAGTGGCTTTAATAGAGTTTTTTTGACTCTATATAGGTCATGTACAGTTTTTTTCAAGTGTATAAAAACTTTTAATATCTGCATATTTGACTGCACTTCTTTTCTGTGAATTACTGTAGATTCAATTAATTAATATTGTGCTTCATTAATACAAGTCCCAAGATCATTAAGTAACATTTTTATTCACATATCTGCTTGCCTACCTCAGATCATCATTCCTTTGCATTATTGAATTATCTTCTGATAAAGTTTTCTAAGGATTTCTTTATTTTGTTACATTCAGAATACTGTTTGGAATGGTGTATTATAAACTTCAGTGAACCCCGGGTTCATGAATAATTAAAAAACTACCTACATACTGATGCCTCCAGAATCAGTTGCAGATTGAAATACTGGTAAGTGTTGTATGTCTAATAAGAATCCATAGAATCCATAGCAATCTTTACTTGATTAACAGTTGTGTTCTGATCCATGTATATAATGCACTTTTTATGCCAGTACTGTGATGGAGATTGATTGATACTTGATTGGCAGTTTTAGTTTTTCTTGAAATAATGTAATGGTGATTTTTACACACTTTAAGGGCATTTTTTTTAAATCTACTAAGTTTATATTGTCTTGGCTAGCTCATGTTACCATTCAGCAAGGAAGAAACAAGTTGGAATAAAAATGGATATGATGGCTCGAAGTTATTTGCTTCAGAATTGCGAGGCATTGGAAAGAGATATCAAGACTTCTTACATAATGGATCATATGATTGCGGATGAAGCATTAACATTGCTGGAAGAGGAGAAAGTAAAAGCCCAGGTAAACTATTTGCAGTTTTTGTATTTTATGCTGCTGTAATATTTAAGCACCTACAGACTCTCTTATAAATGCAGTGCTCTTCTGGTTCTCATGGACATTAGTGCAATACAAAGTTGAACATTGAAGTTGTAAAGTTGATACCTTTAACAGAAAAAGCAGAAATATTTTAGCTAAATGAAAACCTGGATTGGCTCCAGATGAAGCTAGTTGCAATTAGATCCCATGGATAGTCATTAAATTAACATGTGACTACCTATCCATGGGAACTAATTGCAACTAGCTTCATCTGGAGACAAATGGCTTTGAAATCAGTGGGACTCTTCCCTTTATTTCAGTGGCCACTAAGTGAAAATAGCTTACTCTGTGACTAAAAACAGTAATTTAATAATGTTAATACGAAACATAGCAAAATAGACATGCTCAATTTACGTCAAATAAAATGTTACTGTCTTCATCTTCTAGAAGATCTGGTTGCACTCAGACTGTATCCTATAAAAATGGTTTCCAAATTTGAGGAGAGGGGTGTCATTCTTTCATAGGTTTGAGCAATTGTCTCCCTGAGTATCTTAGACATGGTTTTTCATATGAATGTATGTTTTTGTTGAATTAATACTTTATAGATGTGTGCCTGTGGTATGTACATGGTATTAAGGCTGCAAATGTACACATGCTTAAAGGTAAAGGGACCCCTGACCATTAGATCCAGTCGTGACCGACTCTGGGGTTGCGGCGCTCATCTCGCTTTATTGGCCGAGGGAGCCAGCGTACAGCTTCCAGGTCATGTGGCCAGCATGACTAAGCCGCTTCTGGCGAACCAGAGCAGCACACGGAAACACCGTTTACCTTCCCGCTGGAGCAGTACCTATTGATCTACTTGCATTTTGATGTGCTTTCGACCTCCTAGGTTGGCAGGAGCAGGGACCGAGCAATGGGAGCTCACCCCATCACGGGGATTTGAACTGCCGACCTTCTGATCGGCAAGCCCTAGGCTCTGTAGTTTAACCCACAGCGCCACCCGCCACATGCTTACCTGGAAGTAAATCATAGTGCTCGCATTTGGACGTCATCCTAAATCATGGTTTAGCACAATGTGAATAAACCTATTCTTCTAGGCGCTTGTGCTCTGCTACCAGGTGGCTTCCTTACTTGTTTGGGTTTTACTAGTTTGCAGCAATCATTTCGGGCAGAAACTGTGGAGGAATAAAGATTGGACATATCGGGGAGCAGGAGAAACTGGACAAATC